ATCCTACCCCCTCAGCCGCAAGAGAGGAGCCTCACTCGCGTCCGGGATCCCGAGATGAGATCCCTCCAAGCGGTCCTTCATTGCGGTCTCGTGAGCATGATCTATTCACCCACATCTACTATGCAAGTGGAGTCCATTATATTATACTTCTTTTGGCTTTATTCTATGTTGAATGCTGTGTTATTGAGTTCCCGTTTCTGGCATTTTCGTGGTTTTCTTGGCATCTTATTTCATTTTGTTTTTGGATGGTTTTGTTTTGCAGATATTCCCTCTCCAATCCCAAAAAGTAACTTCCAGTTGGCGTGACCGACTTCCCAATTGTTAATAGCCTACTGCCTCTCCCCCAGAGTCCCCCGCTATGTGGACCTCTAGCTCTGGGGGAAAAGGTGACAGTCTTCTGGGATGACATGAGGCTTGTTCTCGTTGACTAGATGACCCTACGGCGAGAATATACCAACGTAAGAGTGGAATCACGGTTTCTTGACTGTAAGCCCTCGGGTTGGAGGTTAGAAGACCGATTTACGGGCCCCTGTGGGGACTCCTGCCGTGCGAGGAATGTGCTGGCAATGGGGTAGTATGTGGGGCCGACATTCGATTGAGGTTCTGTGTATAAACGTTGTCATCGAACATTGGTAGAAAATCATTACTATTATCGCCTACTCCTATCTTTGTACGTTCGTGATTGTAGAGCTAGCACTGCCTTTACCGTTTGAATTTTGACGCTGTAATATACTCAACATGAGGTCGTGTTTGCGCCTGATCGCAGCGCTAAAGGGGTCGCAACGGTAACAATTGTGTGTTCTCCCACTGCCACACTCATGCTATCAATGATGCCTACGCAGTTGCGTGTGGCCGTCGTGCAGTTTGCTCCCAAGGTCAGCGCACATTTCCTCGGGGATGAAAACAGTAGCTATAATCGAACGTCATCTACAAGCTCGGCCAAGTGCAAGCCAACATTGCCAAGGCTCGAGAATTATGCAATAGGTATGCGGCCGCACGCAGGTACCGTTTGAAGATGACCTCACAACCATTTTTAAGGTTGAAGCCCAGATCTATTGATCTCCTGTGTTTTCCGGAGATGGTTTTCTCCGGTAAGCCAGTTCTCAAACATCATCGTTACTGCATGAGGATTTCTGATCACGCATATCACGGCGCTCAGGCTATGTGTTTCCTGACACGGCTGCTATCACACCATATCTTGAGCATCCGTATACAGGGCCCACATCCACCTTTTGCGCGGAGCTAGCACGCTCCCTTGGATGTTTTGTGGCAGCTGGGTATCCCGAGAAGCTCGAACCACACGAACACGCCCCTCCACTCGGAGGCGATAACTTATCATTCCATCAACTTCGCATCGGTGCAAACAGTGCAGTCATGTATGGTCCTACAGGGGAGCGTGTTGGATCATATCGCAAGACCAACCTCTATAAACTTGATCTTCCTTGGGCTGTTCCTGGATCTGGGTTTACGACGATGACGCTACCTCATCCACTGGGCCCAACCACACTTGCGATCTGCAATGACCTCAATGTGCAGGATCCGGCCGTGTGGGAGTCTCTTGAAGAAGGTCCCTATGAACTTGCTCGATACTGCATAAGATCGGGCACGCGGCTTCTGGTACTTCTGAATGCATGGTTGCATCCTGATGAAAATGGAGAAGAATCAGATGTTGATTCATCTTCTGATTACACAACTCCGGAACAGAATGAAGATACAGATGAGATGGAGCCAAGTTGGGAAGTATTGAAATACTGGGCGATGCGCTTGAACCCATTGTGGGCCACCATCCAGAAGGCAACACATGAAAACGAGAAGAAATCGGGCGAATGTAAAATCCCTGACGAGCTACTAGTGGTTGTTTGCAACCGATTTGGAAACGAAGGAGGTGAGTGTTTTAGAAGCTTGTGGCACTATCTTGGGTAAATCGTTTTTGTTCAGGGAGCAGATTTGCAGGATCGTCTGTTCTCATGTCCCTTCGCCGAGGATCCGGCCGACCGCGACTCTTGCATATGATGGGTCAAAGGGAAGAAGGTATCGCTCTATGGACTGCGAACGTGGCTGTATAGTAGTATGACAATGATATTCGATATCGCATGTTGTCCACATGATTTGGCCCCTCATTTGGTCTATTTCCTACATCATCGTCCCTCATTACTCGGTTTCGAGCACATGCCGGTAGCTATCTTTTCGGCACTCATCTCCTCATCGTCCGTGGATAATAGCCCAACGCCTAGACCTTCATCCCAATGAACCCCACTCACCGCACGCAAGTCAACACTCAAAAACTCGTGTGCAGCCATGAAGGACACGAAGTCGATTCAAAGTTCCATAGCTCAAGTTATTCGAAGGAGGATATTTTTAAACGCTGTTCTCACCAGAAGAACTAGGAACAATAAAAATTGACTATTGTTAGAAGCTCGGAGCGCGCATAAACACCAGCTATCAAATGGAAGACGCGCGCCTGCGATTCATGTGATGATAGCGCTTGCGAAGCATTGTTATGACTCGAGTGATTGTGAGTACATAGCTCGTCAGAAACGTATGGCGGATATTAAAAAGGCTCATCAGTAAATATGTCACAAGAGTAGTCACCCTCGACATGCATCTGTAAACTCGAAAGATTTTGTTCGTGGTTACATTCGCTCGTACGAGTAGATGCCCGGCGAAGCTGAAGAATCAACTCATGTATGAAAGCACGTGCGAGAATTATTTGACACATGATAGTTCCAGAAAATACAGTGCGAACAGTGGCCGTGGCGCGCCATAGAGAACTAGTGTATACATGGCTCATCTAGGACCCTGCCGCGTTCGAAAATCGATGTAGCGGACGGTTCCATACGTCACCGAAGGTCTCAGCGCGCGTGGCCTGTCCGGCTATAGCGAACGGGAACCGCAATCTTGGTACTCAGTGAATACAGAAGCAGGATGATTGAGCACCGTGACATGTACTTAGGTTCCCAGGACACCTGTCAGATGCGACGCGCATCCAGTTGTTACACGCCTCAGGCCTCAACCGTTGTCCTGGAGTATGATCACACGAGCTCACAATTGAAGACGACCACGTAAGAGATACAATGCAAAAGGCACATTGGTTCAATCATATTGGAAATATCTAGATGCCCAGAATGCCGTTATGAGCGAACCTCCTTCGAGATTACTGTTTGCGACGCAGACAAACTCGGGTCTTTGATAGCTAAACCCAATTCCTCCTTGGAGGCACGATGAGCCGCAGCTACCCCCTAAGCAGAGTGTATCCGAACTGCTGTCAAATATCATTTTCAAGGCGTTGTCATGCAGCCAACGCGCATCGTCATTGGTAAGCTGCGAACGGACATCCCGCACCAATTGCTGGAGAATCTTCGGCTTCCCTGCGACAACTTGACCCCCCGGCCGAAGTTCGTTTATGGGGAAACCATATCGACTGGCTATAAGCGCACGTGCGTCGTCAAGCAACACACGACGATGCAGAGCGTGTAGCATGGTGGAATGCTAGAACAAAAATCAGTAGGAACCACATGGCATTGAAATTGAGCATTTACGTGTTGCAGGATGGCGGTCATCTTTTTGTCTGAAGCCGATGGTTTTGCGTTCGCAGCCTCAAGGTCTTCGATCCGCTCAGCTTGCTCGTTGATCTGCTCAGCCTGGTGTTTTATCTCGTCGGCCAACTCGTCGATCCGCTCAGTTTGCTTGTTGTTCAGCTCAGCCTCGTATTTATCTCGTAAGCTTGCTCGTTTAATTGCCCCATAAGTTACTGATCAATACCTGCTCAGACCTTGAGGTTTCAAGGTCATTTATCTCGTCCGCAAATTCCTGGCGCATACGATTCATCATCTCCTTAAGCGAGACATTGTTGTCGACTGCTGACCCGCCCGCCACTGAACCAGCTGATTCATATTGTTGAGTACAGAAGCAAAAATGTTGAGACCGCTTACCTTTCTTTTGTTTGCGTCGGGGGGACTTTGACGATGGCTGCGCCTGGCTCTCCTCCAACTGCGCCAGATTTTCTTTGGTCTTGTTTAAAACCACGCGGAACGTGTGGCTTTGTGGAATTTTGAAGTGTACGGTGAGGGGCTTGCCCGATTGCGGGATTGACAGTGAGGATATACGTTTTTGTCGATCCATGTCCCCGTCGACGGCTATATGAGACGAGCAGATAAGTTAGCGTGTATGGCTGGATAATAATGTGCAACCTATTAGAAGACCAAATGGTCCTAATTTGTTCGAGGAAAAAGTCTTGATGAGCTCGTTATATTTCGTGGTTAGTTGTTGACGCAAATGGAAGATGAGAGTTTCAATAGGGGTGTCTCGCAGCACACGTGACAAACTGGGGTCCCCGCTCGCTGTCACAATTACAGTGGACGACGACATGATTGCGAAAGGGGGGAGAGAGAGGAGACGGACTAAAATGCGTGTTTATATATGTTAGATATTGAGTAACTTCCCGCACGCTCGAATAATACATAAAATATTACGGTTTATAATTTTCGGAAGGTGTGATACCGGACGTCGTAACAAGGTTTTAACGATGCTATACTAGGGGCCCTTACCGACGAGAATAAATTGAAATGCCATATTCGGACTACTCACACCTGTGATACCCACTGACATAAGCTACGTCCTTCGTTCATCGTGTGGTGTACATTAACGTTGTTCATTTTAGAAGCCAGACTCAGATTAACGAAGGATTCAATATATTCAATTGTGATAATCAAGTCACTTCGATAATCAGAACATTTAGAACAACGCCACAGCAACAACCTATTAGTAGGCTATTAGTAGTCGCAAGCCTGATTCAGATGATCGATACATCCGAAGTACTGATAGGTCTTTGGAAGCCCCAGTACTATCCAGCCCGGCACATCCGTCCAGACACGAGCAACGTGCGTCCGGCAGTTGCTACGTGTCTCAACCGCTGTCCTAGACACGAGCTCACAATTGAAGACGACCAAGTAAGACATATAGGCACGTAAGTTCATACATGCAACTCATGGTAGAAGTATCTAAAAGTCCGGAATGTCGTGATGGGTGAATACGTCGAAATCCTTCAAGGTTGCTGCCTGCGATGCAGTCAAATCCGGGCCTTTAATGGCTAATGCCAAGCTGTCCTCCTTGGAGGCATTAGGAGCCGCAGCATTGCTTTCTGAGCGTATTGTACCCCGACTGCTATAAAATATCATTTTCAAGGCATCGTCGTGCAGTGCAGGAGCAGCGACAACTCCTTGACCTCCCGGCCGAAGTTCGTTCATAGTGAAACTGTAGCGATTCTAGCCAATCGCTATAGTTTCCCTATGCACGAACATTAGCGATTGCCTAGAAGCGGACGTGCATCATCGAGCAACACACGATGATGCAGAGCGTGCAACACGCTGGGATGCTGGAATAAAAATCAGTAGGAATTACAGGGCATTGAAATCGAGCATTTACGCGCTGCATAGTGGCGGATATCTCTTCGTTTGAAGCTTCTAACCTTGTGTGTGAAGCCTCGAGGTCTTTAATCCGCCCAGTCTGGTATTCTATCTCGTCAGCTTGCTCGTTTAATTGCCCTACAAATTCCCGAGGCATACCTGTTCAGTCCTTGAAGCTTCAAGGTCGTTTGCCTGGCCCGTAAATTCCCGGCGTATCTCGGAGGCTCCTGGCGCATATTATCCATCGTCTCCTTAAGCGAGGCGTTGTTGTCGACTGCTGACCCGCACACCACTGAACCAGCTGATTCATATTGTTCAGTACAGAAACGAAGACGTTGAGACCACGTACCTTTCTTTTTTGCGTCGAGAAGACTTTGACAATGTCTGTATCTGTTCCATGGCTTCTATTGGTTGTCGGGCGTTCTCATCCGCCTGAAGTTTCTTCAACTACGCCAGATTTGACTTGTTCTTATTTAGAACCGTGCGGAATGTGTGGGTTCGCGGCATCTTAAAGTGCACAGCGAGGTGTTTGCCCAATTGCAGGATGGACAGTGTTGAGTTCCCGTGGGTCCATGTCTCTGTCAACGGCTATATGAGACGAGCATGACTGACAAGCAAGCGTGTACAGTTGGATGATAATGCGGAACCTACGAGAAAATCAAATGGTGATGGGGGTAAGATGTCGCGATAAACAATGAAGTTTGAACTCGTTGTATTTGGTGATGAGTTGTTGATGCAACATCCAGTTGCGTCAACAACTTATCATCAAATACGAGTTCATTGAGCTATCCCCCATCGAATTAGGACCATTTCACTTTGGGTAGCCTAGGGTATTTTCATTCGTACATAACAGACCAGAGTCCACGAGGACCCCGGTTTCTTTCATGGAGTTACTCGACGACGACGACATGATTGCGAAAGGAGGGAGAGAGATGTCGGACCAAAATGCGTGCTTATATATGTTGAATATTGGCCAGTGACTCCCGGCAGGCTCGAATAAAATATTATGGTTTTTAATTTTATCCTTTCGGAAGGTGCCAGACGTCGTAACAAGGGGTCCTTTGAGCACTTTTGCTATATTTGGACTACTCAGCAGCTATGTCCTTCAGTCGTTCATCGTGTGGTGTGCTAGTGAATCAATGAACGTTGTTCACTTTAGAAGCCAGACTCGAATCAACAAGGATTTGATATATTCAATTCCGGTAATCGAGTCCCATCGATAATCAGCGTGTGGTGTGCTAGTGAATCAATCAACGTTGTTCACTTTAGAAGCCAGACTCGAGTCAACACACAGCAACAACCTATTAGGCTATTAGTAGTGATTCAGATGATCGATTTATCCTCGGTACTTATCGATAGGTATTTGGAAACTTCCTTAGTACTTATCCTGAGCGTGCCCCGGGGCGCAAGGGTTCACCAAATCAGTCGCTATACTAGGCCTTGCTGGATCGAGGAAACTGCAGGCATGGTACGATCTCGATTTTATCATTATGAATTGTCGCACTGTCTGATGAATTTTATGTTGCATGTTCTTCACATCATGCAGGTGAGAGACAAAGATCATGGGGCTTTTCTTTTACCAATCTTTCTCCAGCCACTGCAGATATTCCTCAATAATCCTATCATCTCAATCGCTTCCTCTTCGTCATCATCATAATGAGCCGCGTCGATTGGCCAAAGGCTTTCCCTGTGCTCCATGAGCTTGACCACATCCAATTTTGCCTTTGCTCTCTGGTTGTAACCAGACTCAGTGGCAGACATTGTGTGCACAGAGTACTCTATCTTTTTAGCGGCTTCTGCCAGAAGTAGATATCTAGGCCGGTGATAATCGTCAGGATGGGCACTTCGTGAATACATGAGGAGTACCTTGCTTCGGCGTTGGATGGAGCGTTGCTCAAATTAACCCATAACCCTTCATCGTTATCGTCCCAGCGGAGAACTCTGTGCAATGCTTGTCTAATAGTGCGAAAGACATCTTTCCTTGCTGGTGCCTAAGTAATATCGTTCATCATTTTAGTGCGCTATGCAGGATTTCGACTTACGGGTATTTTCTTGGAGATCATCGCTTCCAGTTCAATATCAATGTCGGGCAGGTCTATCTGAGGTTCTGAAAGATAGTGATATCTAAAGTTTCTGCATGGTTGCCGCTCACGTTTGGACATACCATCATCGAGCGAAACGTCACCACTACCTTGCCCAAAGTCTGTAGGCACCTCTTCCAGAACATCATCTTGTAGCAGCTCGTCTCGTAGAGCTTGCCGAGCAGAATTAAAGCAAACCTCGACAACTTCAATCTCGTCATTGTCGTGGCTTTGTTCTTCACCTTCTTGGATGGTTTGCTGAGCATCCGAAGACTCTATAGCACGCGTTTCTTGTTGAGGTTGTTTGAACGGCACCTTAAATGGCATTTTGAATGGCTTCCTTAAGGTATTGACAGAACTATAAGGCTTCGTGACTATCACGGTATCAGATGGACTCTTCAACATTGGAACGCGTACCGCTCACTTAATGCAGGCGGCAGTGCCTCTAGCTTTGCCTTCTTCGTGGGCGGACCTGTAGGACAGGTGTTAAGCCCTCTCAACCCGACACTTCCCGCCTGTCCAGGATTGTGCTGGCCGGGAGGAGGCTTTCGAGGCGCTGGACGTGAATTCTCGGCGTCGTCTTCGAATGCATCTGCATTGAAGGAACGCGAGTGCGATAGTGCAGCAACGCGGTCCTCTGAGGAGAGATTCTGTCTTCTGCGCAGGGTTTTGTCAGGGTATTTGCACACCTAGGTACGCTCTATCGCGGTTTGTACTGAAGAAGGGAACGAAGAAGACGCACATCACACATATTATCACAGTAGCTCTTGACGACCTCCTTGTCGCTCGTATCGATTTTTTCACCAAAATACTTGCAGATAGACTTGGATTGGTTGGGATTAGACCAAATATAGCTAGCCAGTGGCAAGGATAAGACTAACCACGTGCCGACACATAGTTGCGTTTTCCGCATAGTCAATCAACTGGATCTCGTAAGTTTTCTGACGCCAGCAAGGATAAGTTACTTACTGCACTGAAACTGTCAATGGATCTTTGACTGGGTTGGGGACCGTGTATGGCGCTTGCTACGTGTTGTCTCTTGGCATGGCTATCAGAAACCAGCTTGCGGAGGCGGAAGGCGTCTTCACGAGCTATAAATTATGTTCAAGCGTCAGTTGTACCCGTTAGCGAACGATGATGACCTTACAGTAATAGAGGACACATTTGGATGGCTAGAGCGAAACAATCAACAAGGGAGAATGACACGAAAGACAAACTCACGCAGCCATCGCGGCCTGCTCGCCCTGTATGGAAAGACCGATTAGAATAAGATGGACAAACTAAGATAGTACCACTATACCCGTTTCTTGATAATACCCTAAGCACGATATATGCTGCGGGTCAACGATGCTCCTCACAGTAGTTCATGAAGAACACACACCTTCGAAGCTTTTTGGAAGGTCGTAGTGAATAATATAACTTAGTTATCAGCGTCAGTATCACACAGACTCTCAAGTAGAGAGGGCTGACCGAACATCGCTTTTATCGATCCCCATTCCAAAAGCGATGGTTGCGCACACCTAAGCAATGTTTTAGAAGAGACGATTGACAAAAAGAGAGAGAACACACCACGTCGACACCACCATCGCCATTTCCACCCGCTTCCCATTCGCTCAGCGTCTTATCAAGCATGTGGGGTCTTTACGAAGCATAATCACACCAGGGACCTCGCTTTAGACTCGCCTCATACGCACCTAATTCCACGATGATATGGCCTGGCACTGATTCCTTTTCCCCTTAGAAAGGCCGATAGTTCATCACACGCTGCACGGGTACGACAGTAAATGATCCCAGAGCTCGGTCGGGCCCGACGACGGTGTAGGGTCATTACGAAATCGTATACAGCTGACATACGAGATAGGGAGTCGAGCGCAGCGGTGTATTTGATATCATAAAATAGGTTGGTGCGATTAAAGGGGTGCGAAGCGGTGAACAGTCTTTCTTCGGACATCTTGAGGTTGCGTATAATATCTGTTTGAACACTGGAGCCATAACAACGCAAGTACCGAACGGCAAGGTCCTAATCAAGCAGGGAATAATGCCTGCAGTCTGAGGAACATACCTCGGAGTAGCAGTTGCTGTGAGGGCCATAATGGGTACTCCATGAAATCGTTCCCGGAAAGAACCTAACCTGCGATATTCCTCACGGAAGTCATGGCCCCACTCCTGTGGAAACAAATATTGTTAGTTCTGAAATTGAGAAGTGTTACGATGCACACAGAGATGCAGTGAGCCTGTGAGTGAATGAATGAGCAGTTTTCACGCTGTCCGCAGATAGCGCTCACCTCGTCCACAACCAGTCTATTGAGTTCGCCCTCGACATAAACGATGTCAAGAAGACGCGTCATTTCACGCGTGCACAACTTTTCAGGTGTGGCTGCTCGAAATTGTGATCAGCTCGCTGCATATGTATTCTCGCATTAAGCAAGCTCACTATATAGAAGACGAGTTTGTGGTTTCCCTGATTCGAGGTCTTCGATGATCTATGGGACGTAACTCAGTAAACACAAAGTCTACAAGAGCAGCAGCAATACTTGATCTCGTTCACCCTTCGGTGTGTCCGACGTCCAAGAGACCGCGGGAAGTCCTTTGCGGCGCAGACTCGATACCTCTGCACAATCCAGTCCAGCCTCAGATGGAAAGACAAACAGACACGCAACGTACGGTTTTTCATCAAGGCTGGAACAACGGATTAGTTCATTAAACCAACATCAATTGGCAGGTTTGACAGACCCAATAGTGGCGAAACTATGATGGAGATGCCGAACTATGATGAAGTCAGCTCTTGTCAAGCAGCAATTTCAGAAGAATACCTTATCTGCGATCGCTGGAATCTGAAAGCACAGGCTCTGTAGATCATGAAATGTAATGGGCAATCTGTAGATATTCATTTGCAAATACCTTGCCCATTCCCGTCGGTGCTAATACAAAGACATCCAATCCTGTATGGCAAATAATTAATCGTTTTAACACAAATGCGCCATGACTCACCAGAAGTAGCAGCCTCGACAATTTCCTTTTGCTTCCCTTTGTACTCTGTGTGACCGAAAGCTGCCAGTGATTATTGGTCGCTTCA